TGAGAAACAGGCAATAGTGGACACTGCACCAATATACATTAAGCGCCATATAGAGAGCCTCATAGACCAATTCAGGAATGAAGTTATCAACGACCTGAAGTTAGAAGTATGCAGAATAGTTAGAGAAATGCTAACCACCACCCAGGAAAAAACAGATGGTGGAATGGAAGAACAGAAAAAGAGGGGAGAATTGCTTGATGGAGAAAACAGAGAAAGCATTGAGTATGTGAAGCAGGTTCAAAGGGACTATCAAGAAATTAAGAAGTCTATCCAAGACTGGCATAACAGCTTGAAAGAAACTAAGGACAGACTATCTGAACTGGAGGGCAGACTTGTAATATGGGAGAATGAAATGAAAAACTTCTTAAAAATAACAAAGAAACAAACAGCAATAATACAAAGACAAGAAGATGATAAGAGGAGCCATAACTTAAGGATTAAGAACATAAAAGAAGAAGTAGGGACACAACCAAGTGAACTACAAAAGCTACTCACAGAAATAATCCAGGAGAATTTTCCTAATTTAGCAAAAGGTAAAGATACTCAGATGTATGAGGCATACAGGACCCCAGCTACCTACAACCCTAACAGAGAAACACCCAGGCATATAATAATAAAAATTCCAGAAATTCAATACAAGAACAGAATATTAAAAGCTGTAAGAGACAAGAAACAGACCACTTACAAGGGAACACCCATCAGAATTACAGCAGACTTCTCTGCACAAACCATCAAATCATGAAGAGCATGGGGGGGAAATAATTCAAGCTTTGAAAGATAATAATCTCCAGCCAAGATTGAGATATCCTGCACAACTGTCCCTAGAAATTGATGGAAAAACGAGGTGCTTCCAGGATAAAGAGGAACTGGGGGAATTTGCAACCACCAATTCAACCCTACAGAGAGTATTGCAAGATATTCTAAAAAAAGAAAAATACAAAACCCAGAAATAGTGGTGGGGAGGCCACAACGAATGGAGCAGAGAACAAAATGAAGAAGACAAACTGACAGCTACTGACAGAAAAAGAGCTCAACAGAAATGAGACAGAGAAGATTGGATGATAGGAACAGCTATTTTGGAGAAAATGACATCTTAATAGGTAATACTGATTTAGTACCATCTTGTTTTGAAGTCTCATCTAGCTTTTGTTCTTCTGTCTCCAATGGTCTAAACAGGTTGTATCTTATTGGATTTTATTATGTACGATAGTATAAGCAAAAACCTTTTAAAGACAAGGAGAATATACAGAAACCATTGTTCATTTTCTGTTAGTCGATTCTAAATACTCTATAATGCTGTCTTTCTCTTAAATGGTTTTACATTGTTTTGATATACATAATGCTACAGTATACGAAGTTGTACTCAAGGACTTCAAGGAAAGAGTCAATATGGTAACTACTTTTGGGTCGGAATTATCTGGTGGTGAAACACTATTCTGCTTAAATGGTTATGTTTTGATCTGCCCTGTTTCGCTGTTATGCCCTCTTTTTTCTCAATCTCCACTCCATTATTTACTTTTTTATTTTTATCCGTTTAATTAAAGGGAAAAAAATAGCAGGATATAATATAGTAACCCACTTTGACTTTCTATTATCTCGATTTGAAGCCCTGTATTACTCTCACCATCTTGTTTTTGACCGAGGTTCCTCTATTCTGTTTTGCTGGACAGTATCAGGTTCGAAAGTTTAGGCATCAGCTGAGAAGATAATGAGATTCATTATAACGCCCATTCTCGTTGACTTTTATCTACTTTTGAAGACCTACAATGTCTCCAATGTTTTGGTTTTGTCGGTTTTGTTCTTTACTGTTTTGTTCAATTGTATTACAACTAATGATATAGGCAATTCTATTAGAGATAGCGGGAGGCATTATGGTAACCATTGTTGATCACCTTGTATTATGTTTTTATATTATCTATTATGTCCACCCTTTTGACTTGACCGATTCTGTTCTGTTATGTCACATTTGGTTTTACTCTCTTCCAAAAAAGCAATAAGAACCGTGGGAGCAATGAAACCCAAAATGTGTAAAAGTCACTGTACAAAAGAGAGGAAAAGAAAGTACTCTAAACTATATAACTGCATGTATATTTAAGTGTATAAGATAGAAAATGATATCACAGAGTTTTATTGGATCATTGAACAGAACTGTTTGCAGTATCATTGTTGGAATGTCCACTCTACAAGCTTTAATTTTGTGACTTGAACAATTATTTCTAAGATGGCAATATGTAATCCATTAACTAGTGATTTCCTACTGCGCATTTTTTTCTTCTGTAAATCTGTATAACTTGTACCCCTTCACTGTTTTTTTTTTCTTTTTTCCTTAAATAAAAAAAAAAACAATTAAAGAAACTTGAGTGGGACCAGTCATCCATGTTCATCAGCTCTCTGGGGGAATCTGATGCAGGAGGAGGACATCTTACAGACACACTAAGTTTTGAAGCTGAAATAGGACATGGTATCTGTCTGGTTTTTGTACTCTGGATAGCAGAGATTTAAACATCTATCAAGTTCTGGTCTTCCCTGTCCTGTCCACTTGTGGGCAGCCTTGTGTGAGGGGCCCACGATTCCTCCCTCCTGTCCACATCCACGCATGTCACTTTCCTGTCAAGAGGTGGACGCCATCTGCCTTCTGTGTGACTTTGCTAGGGCTGCTGTCCCAAAGTGCCATGTGCCAGCTGGTGTAAACACCAGGAAGTTATTGTCTCCCTTTTCCGAAGGCCAGAGTGTGTGGTCCAGATGTCCAGGGGCTGCTTCCTCGAAGACACAGTTCCTGGCTGCTTTCCTATTCAGCAGTCGGCAGTGGGGTAAAATCCAGCCTTCATGTGCCACTCACACTGTGTGCACCTACGTCCACATCCACTTTCTCCCTTTAGAAGAGCACTTGGCGTATTGAATTAGAGGTCCCTCTGCCCTGCGGGACCTTGTCTTAACCTGTAACATTCACAGCAACCTTATTTCCAGTGACACAGTCTGAGGTTCTGGGCATTAAGACTTTAAAGACTTCAGAGGGTAACTTTGGGGTATCCTATTCAAATTTGTAACACTTCTCAAAGAATCTGAGTCTCAAGGACTAGAGGTTTTGGAGGCAGGGGAGTTCTTATGCAGTGCTGGGGAGGGAACCCAGGGAGCACTGGGCTACATTTCCATTTTTTCCTTTTTAACTTGAGACAAGGCCTCTCTAAGTTGACCAGACTAGGCTTGCACTTGCGCTTCTTGAGTCCCCAGTAACTGGGACTCCAAAGCCGAAGTCCTGCGCCTTGGTTAGGTCTTAAGCTTTCACAGCTTCTTTCCACTCTTTGGAAACTGTTTGCGATATAAAGTTCAGCTATACCACTGCGGGGAGACCCTGGGGAGATGGAAAAGTGGAAAACAAGAAGAGGAGGCCCAGTACACTCTCAGCTGCCCCGGCCTATGCCTCAGATATATGCGGCCATCTTAGGTCACCCCAGCCACTCCCACAGCCAGAGAGAGTGTGAGCCTCCACCATCACCAAGCCCTTTGCAAGTCAAAGCAGCAGTGGTGAATAAGTGGTGGGTTTTTTTAGGCCACTGAATTGTGATATAGCAAGAGATAACGGCAATAAGCCTGGGCCTTTATAATCAAAATGTGGGTCCTTCTGCAGGAAGCCTTTCTGTCAGAGCCCAGAGCCTGTCTATCCCTCAGAACATTCAGGTCTCATTCAGAGTTTAGCAGCTGAGGATGAGGACAAAGTTGTACTTGTACACAGTGAATAACGCCCTCTGACCTGCTTAAAAGCTTCTGAGAGAGAGGATGAAAAGCGGGGACACAACCAGGGAGAGGCAGAGGGTACTGAGGGGTGCTTTGTGCAGGTGACCTTCACCCAAAGCCCAGATGCACAGAGACAACTGTGTGGGCTCTAAAACACTGGAACTCTAAGAGAAAGAGGAGAAACACAAGTACTGAGAGGTCTTTGCTATGAAAACTGGAATAGTGAATGATTGCAAATGAGTGTCTTCAAGAAAGCTCAGTTTGGGGGAAATAAAGAGCTATGAGATGCGTAAAATGATCACTTAGAACAGGAACAGGATCATAATATGGAGAACTCTGATAGAAGAGAAAGTGCTTAAAGAGGGGCCCTTAGCTACTGTCAGAATCTTCTACATTTTTTCCCCCTCAATTTGGGCTGGCCTTGAACTTGTGGTGATCCTCCTGCCTCAGCCTTTTGAGTGTAGGGATTATAGGCATGTGCCACAGTGCCCAGCTAGAATCTTTCTTTTAATATGCCCATTTCTGGGGCTGGGGATTTAGCTCAGCAGCATGGAACCTACCTGGCAAGTGCAAGGTCCTGAATTTGATTCCCAGTACAAAAAAAAAAAGTCAAATTCCGAAGCTCTTATGTGGCCTGATACTGCTTGTTCTGAGGACAGTTTCTAACTTCTTCAGTAGGGGCTCTTTTGAGAATAAAGATGCAGAGTTTCTTGACTAAAAGGCACATAGGCACGTTACCCCACATCCCCGATACCACATGGCCCAGGAAAAAAGATTCTTGTTTTTTGGAATCCTGTTTCTCGAACTCTATTGCTTTATAAAGTGTCAAGGTAAAGACCTAACTTGTAAGATGGTTGTACATATCGACTGAGAGTTCACCCACTATCACCTCTGACAGCCATGCAAAAACAGACCAGGTTTTAATAAGCCTGGATTCCTTGCAGACACTGAAAGGGATAAGTTTCCAGCCCTGAATGCTTAGGGGTAGATAATATTTGGCAGTTTTCATGGGCCCTCTGGAAGGCTTACCTTTCTTTGGGCAGGGGTGGGTTGGGGACAGGGAATGTACATAGGGTCCCATAGGAAGTCAAGGCCTAGGGCAGAGCCTATGGCTAAAGTGGTAAATACCTGCAGGGCTGCCTGCTCACAGCAGAATTCAGCGCCAATCTATAGGCTTTCCTAATGGGAGGCCCCCAGGGGCAGAGGCCAACCTGTCCCTTAACTGAGGGTAATGACAAAGGATGGCGGAAGGTCCAATGCCTACAGAGATTCCACACCACTGGATATCAAGTGTATTTCAGGGAGTTATAGAAACCAGGAAGTAGTGTTACAGAGCTGGATAGTGAACAGTCAGACACTGGAGGTGCCAAGACTGCCTGGTACTCCCTGCTCTCATCATCATCATCCATGCAGTCTGTGCCCATTCCTGTTCTTCATAATCTTTCTCCAGAGCAGCCAGCTCCTCTTGGTCCCCAGGTACCACTGTGGGGGGCTGGTAATTGATACCCACCTAAGAAGAAACAGAAAGCAGATGACATCCTTTTCCCCAGCCGTTTCTATAGAGAACTTTATCTAGAAATGGTCTATACCTAACCATAATTGCATGTTCTTCTGTATATTAAACACTGAAATACAGTTTATACTTAAGTATCTGTACTTTATGAAGTGATTTGACCAGCATAATCAACATACAGAAATTTCCATCATTCCCCCCAAAAGTTCTTTGTCCTTTTGCTTCTCTCATAGAGGGGAAAAATACCTCATAGAGGTTGATGGTCTTGGGAAGCAGCTGGCCTAAGGAAGGCAGTGTTGTGCAGTGGCAGGGGTGAGACAGGCGCAGAATTTGCAGTCAGAAATCTGGCTTGCCCAGCTGTGTTGCTTTCCAACACATACAGGAGGGTGGGGCTGCATATATACAAATGCCCTGGTCCTGCCATAGACTGGAACCCAGGGATCGGCAGGATTACCAAATACCTAGATAATTCCGATATAGAGGTTCCTTTAAACTAGAAAAACCTGGAACTCTGCCTGATAAGTGAGAAATGACAGTCTAAAAAAGGTCTGATGCTAGAAGGTGCTTGGGGAAACACAGAATCCCATGCGCTAGGTTACTCAGTCTCTACAGAGCACCAGAGAGACTGCAGACAATCCCTTAGAGAAACAGAGTTAGGTTACTAGCTCCCAGCTGGCCTCACTCTCAGTGCTTTGGACAGGGGACAGGCAAAGTGGAGAGTGGTTGAGAGCAGAGCCTCTCCTGGCTGGAAATATCTATGTAGGAGTCTAGGAAAGGCAAACTGAGCAGCTGTTCAACATGGACCAATGTTCAAAGAAGTCTTAGATCAAACAGACCTGACAAGTAAATAACTAGCAAGACAAAAGTCCAACTCCATAAATTCAGGGCAGAGCAGGTTATTCAGGCTTCCAACCCCATATCCATTTCCAGGACATGACACAGAGCTCCCCCTAGGGAAAGCTGAGTGCACAGAGGAATGATGTCAGGTGCCATCCACAGGTGGTGGGTCCTCTTTTTCCTGTGCGCCATCAACTCCCAAGCCAGAGATGCTAAAGATGCAGGGAATGCCTGTAGGAGCCACAGGCACCTGGTCCTGCTCACCACTTTCGGATTTGCTCCACCACCAAATCATTGATCCTTGGTATAGTGGCCATGGCCGTAGTTGTTGGCAGTGTCTTCCTAGCCAGATATCAGCTGCTCAGGGTGGAGGCGGTACCTGAGTGCTAGTTCTTACCCTGTCTTGAGGGAAAGAAAGGGAAAAGGTGAGAGATGCTGGCCTCTTTCCCCAAGATGACAGACAACCCTAGAGCCTTTATTAAGTTCCCTAGGTGTGATTGCACAACAGTGTGTGTCCGTCACTCCACAGGCCACTTCTGAAGTCTGGTGCCACCTGCTCCTGAGGAGGAAGTGAGGGGCCACCTTGAACAGGCCCTTTTAACTGATCTCACAGCCACTTCACTTTGCTTAGTGAGGAATCAGTATGTAAAGGAATCACTTCTGTGTAGGCTAAGAATATAGATTGATGCAGACAACCAAGTCGACAGTTTAACTTCCTAGATGACATCTTTGGAAAGATTAGGGAACTAAGGAGCTCCAGGCCCAGAGGGAGGAAGCAGAAAAGCCCATGGGAACAAGGAGCAGCTGGGTTCACTGAGGCCCAAACCTGACAGGTGCCCTATTTCAGTCAGGGCGAGGAGCTCCCAGTTCCTTAGGCAAAGCTATCTTCGAGCCTGAGGGTTTGAAGCTTTTGCTTATATCCATTCCACTCTTAGGTCTGACCCTAGACTCAAACATCTGCTATTTTCCAGGTAAAACTATGCTACTAATTTCCCTCCTGGGATAGGAAGTCCCCAGGACCCCTTCTGAAGACAGCATCTAGATAAAGCAACACATCTGAGCCTCCTGTTGTGCTTGACAGAGGACCACTCCATCCCAAGTGCTTTCCCTCTTCACATAGCTTTCTACCAACTTTGGGGTTGGCAAAAATTGTGGGCTGCCCACTCACTCATAATTGTAGACTCCAGGTCCACAAAGACAACTCAGCCCTTGTTTCATCAGCGGCGTTGAAGGAGTCATTGCTGTTCCCCGCGGTCTCACTGCTGATCATGGTGCCATCAGGCTGGATATGGTGCTCCAGGCAGTAGAGCTCCCAGCAGGCTTTGCCCGTCTGCCCTGAAAGCCTGGCTGGCCCATGTGAATGGTGACGCATTCTCGCTGGTGGGGGCAGAGAGACACACTGTGAGCCATGGGGGAGGGGTTGATGTACCTGAAAAGCCTTGCCTGGGAGCAGCCCTTATCTTTCCTTCCAGAAGGCTGACATTGCTGTATTATCTACTCTTAAACTCAAAAGACTGTCTTTTCTTTCCAGACCTCCGTACACCTGAAGCCAAGCTGCTTCCAGGGTCTCATTTCCTTTCAATTGCTCTGGACCTAAGAAGAAAGTGGCTGTGTCTTTCTAGTGTAGGAACTTGAGAAAGCCAAAGTCACACAGCCACATCCCACTGCGCAGTGGTCTTTCTGCTGGCTATGGTGGCTTGGGAAGTCTCAGGGTCTTGTATTCAAGACAGGCACCTTGGAGCTTCGGGGTTCAGTAACTGGGACCTAGATCAAGAGGTCGCCCATGGCAGTGGCTGTCTCCTTCCCACTCTAACAGGCAGGAGGCCTTGTTCAGGCTGGTGGATTACCTGAGGAATTTACAGATAATTGTTTTGAAAGATCATTCACACCCTTTTTTTTTTCCTGAGGAGAGGGAGGGCATATTAACTTACCTTACACACCTGTCACTGTCCACTGCAGTAGAGAGAGTTTCATTCAGACAGTACACTCAAGACCTATCCCATCCTTCAATCCTCACTGAAGTCAACCCCAGGCTGGACAGACCTTCCCATCTTCTCAACCCTCACCCCTAATTTGCAACCCAGAGTGCTGTATGAAAGGACTGAGCACCTCCCATTTGCAGCAGGACTGTGCACCAGGAAGGAAGCGGCAGTGGTGAAACCTGTGGCATGCAAGTCTTAGCAGGCTGTTTGCATGATTGAAAGTTCTAAAAGGTTCGCCATCACTGATAGGATCTATCCTTTGAGACAGCCTCAGAGCCTTCCTCAAGAAAGCTGGAAGGTGCAGTTCGAAGCTGGCACCTCCTGGTCCCGGACCGCAGCGGCAAATCCTAGTTCCCCTTTGGTCTCCAGCGCAGACCAACCCCACGCCTAGAGCTTGAGCGCAGAGCACCAATCTCCGCGCCCCGCTTCCCTTCGCCACTCCGCCCAATCGCACAGGACTTTGGGGGCGCTCAGGAGCTTCCCAATTTGAATCTGCCAGAGTAGGGAAGACGATAGAAAAGTTGTGCTTGAAATTCCCGAGCGTCCCTGGCCTTCCCGCAATCCCACCCTCACCGTGAACCCCAGCCACCCTGGAATCAGCGCAGCCCACCGCACCCCGGACTGCCTGGGCGGGCGCTCCTTTTTCAGCACAGGCCGCCCTTTCCCGATCCCTGGCTTCCTCCCCCAAGCAGCTGCCAAGACCCCTTGAATGCCGCTAGCTCCCTCCTGACAATGACTGCGCCGTCAGGTACGGGAGTTTCAGAAAGGCTGGCTGGAGAAGCACTAGAAACCTCCAGAAGCACACACAAACCTGGTCAAAGGGAGAGCACGCGGGGGTGGGTGGGTGGGTGTGTGCTTGCCTGCTGAGTTCCCATTGGTCCGCAGCCTCCGCCCCGCGCCTGTCATTGGCCAGCCCCCGCCTAGGCCCGCCCCTCTCGCGGTTCTTGAGGGTCGCAGCAGCTGGTGTGGGGGGGGGGGTAATTTACAAAGCCAAAGGGAGGTACGTTCTCCCCACCAGTTTGACCCTCTCCCATCTTTTGGAGTGCGTGCAGGATCCAGAGGTTGAATCTTTGGGAAAATACCTTCCTTGTTTTGTCCTTAGGACTTAGCACTGTGGGTTTAGCACTGTGGATCTGGTTAGAAACATTCACTGACCTTGCAGCATGGTGCAGCATTGAGCTCAGCAACCGCTAAAGAAGGAAACTTGCTGTGATGAGAACCAGGTGCGGACTGCTGCTAGAGTGGGGCGAAATGCAGCCGGGGTGAGGGGAGCAATGGGCAGGCAGATGTGGAAAAGAAAGTGGATTCTGTAGGTGAGTTTTTCTGTAGGCGAGCCCTTCAGTCGGGCAACTGCTCAGGCTCAGGGGACTCAAGATTCTTGTACAAGCAAGAAGTCCCGGCAGACAAAACAGGTAAGGGTGTGTGGAAGAGAAAGAAGGGAAAGCTGGGCGGGGCCTCGAGTGCTGAAGAGCTCACACTGAATTCCAGTGGCCAGGGGGGTCCACTAAGGGCTTTTCAGCCGAGGAGCGATGTGATTAGAATAGCATTTTCGGCGATAGATGTTATTTGTATAATTTCCAGTGGCTATTTCAGATCGTTCCATGCTAAAGGGCAGACGCACCTGTTCCCAATCTCTAAAATGTTACCTGAGGTTTTTCCTTCTAAACACCTAAGTGTAAGAAATTAGCATTTGCTTAGTTTGGTGGCCACCTCACCCTACAATAATTATACCCTGATATTTGTGTAGCACGTTCTAGAGGATCTCAAAGCGTAGTTATCTCTTCCTAGCGAAAACGTGACTGAGCCTCAGGCAGGTTCAAGTACAGGGTGCACGGGTTCATTTCAAACTGTGCGGCATCCTTTGATTTCAAGTCTAGAACCTGGTTTTAAGAGGCTACTGTCCTCTAAATAGATGCATCTAGTTGGAGAAAAAGTGACAGCGTGTGTGAACATTCAACTTAAGTGCTTAGAAAACCCTTGGACAGACACAGCCAATGATTTGTTGCTCTTCACTGCCCCCTGGCGAAACAACTAATATTGCATCTTGCTGAAGGTAGGCACATGAGTGATGAAAATGAACTTTTCTAAGCATAAACGGAAAAGATAGTGAGCTCAGCACATCATCTCTGCCTTGCTTTGCCTGCTGGCAGAGTCTTCCAGAAATATTCTTCCATTCCTACTGAATGGAATAGACACAGGGGTTATAAATGCATTGGAAAAATAGCCAAGGGTGGCGATGCACATCTGTAATCCCTACCACCTGGTTGCTGAGGTACGGGACTGCAAGTTTAAGCACAGCCTTAGCAATTTAGCAAGATCTTGTCTCAGAATAAAAAACAAAAAGGCTGGCGGTGTAGTTTGGTGCGAAGGCCTGGGTTTAATCTCCAGTACCACACATTAAATCCCTAACTTATGAATATTTGGGTAGCAAACTTTCATAAGTGTACTGTATGAGACATCTGTCTGATTACAAGTGAGTCTAATTTATGAATATTCTCCAAGAATGGACCTTTTTCACAAGTCGAGGACTTACTGTATTACACAAGTGAATGTTGGAAACAGTAACATTCTATGTTATTTGGGCAAATTACACATCCACCTCTCAACATACTTCTTTACATGATACCAATTAAAACTGATCGTCTCATAAAGCATTTGGGTTGATGTCTATTGTCTGGATTGCTTACAAACTTAAAGTTTATTTCTAAGTTTCTTAACTTTCCCCTTTCATCAAATTACTTCAACTCCGTGTCACTGCACATGCACCAATTTCACACCTCTTTGGGAACTTAAACTATTTCAAAAGTCAGGGAATGTGTGCTCTGTGATCAGCTGTATTCTGTTGGCAGTCTGAATTGTCCTGATATGCCTGCATCCCTTGGCTTTGTTTACTCTTAACATCTTCCTCCTCTACATAGCAATGAAATGACCTCGTGAATTGAAATGAGATGACATCCACAGTTAGTTCAGGAAGGAAAAGGCAAAGGAAGATGGAGAAGTTTAGTAGAAGCAATACTATGTCACTCACTGAGTAGCGGAGATCCGAGGTAAACGGGGACACTAGAGCCGGTACCAAGTCTGGGCCAGCAGTATCTGCTTTCAAGTGACTGCATTACTCTCAATACCACAGCATAGTTGCTCCCCTGAAGCTTACAGCATAGAATGCACATCTATGCCAGGATGGTGACAGTGGACACTCAGACTGTGTGAGCTTTCTTCTTTCCTGCCCAGAGGAGCTAGACATATCTAGAATGCTATTCTGGGTTCTATCTTACTTACTTTCCATCAGAAGCCCCAGTAAAGCCTCATTGTTGTTGTTATTTACATCTTGTGATTTCTATCTTGAATTGAGTGGAAGAACTCTAACCTAATTGGTAACATTACCTTGATATTTTCCATTTGACTGGATCAAATGCTTCCCAAGTTTTGACCCAATCCCTGTTCTATATCCCATAACAGCTCTCTTCAGAACAAAGGGGGGGGGGGCAATAGCATATAAATCCATGGGAATTACTCAGTCTTTTGGAGGGAGACCTTAAACTATTTCTAGCCTCCATTCTATCTCCTTACCAGTTCCCTCACTGTTCTTATATCATGGTTCATGTTGGAATCCAACCTTAAGTAGAAATAGACTGTCTAAGGTCACCAGGTTAGGGTTTTGGAGGGACCCTGTTCTCACTGCAGCAAAGGACTTGTTTCAGATATCCACAGCCAGAATGATTTGTCATCCCACAAAATTGTGTCTTGATACAAGATAAGTATATATCATAGGTCACTATCCATTTGTCAGGTATAACGTCATTTCTATCTATAGCAAAATGTATGCTACATTTCAGCTGACTAAACATGAATTTGGTGGACATTTCTGCCATTTAACTCTAAAATCCGATATGTAAGGTCAGGGCAGGTAGCTCAGTAGTATAACATGCACTTATTATGTATTAGGCCCAGGGGTTCAATCCCCATCACCAGCAAAAAGAAGTCAATATAATGTTTGACACTTAGGTATGTATCTTAGGTATTGTCCAAACAAGAAAAAATTAATCACAACTGAAAGGTTGCTGAGGATGACATCTTTATTCCCTGATCCTATAGAGACTACCATGGTCAGACCCACAATGATGTATGCCCTGCACAATCCCATTATATTTTCACTGTATAAGGTAAATTCAAGTACAATAGTTTTTCCAATTTTTAGCCCACTAGCCTGGATCAGAAATACAATTCTTCCTAGTCTCTAACTCTGTCTTCAAAAGTATGCACCAACTACTTTAAATTAGTCCCAATAAAATAATCTAGTACATAACAAAGTTCATTCTCATACTCCTTTAAACAACTATCAACCAAACTCTTAAAATATGGCAGATTTTGGGCTGGGTGTTCAGGGTAAAGAGGATATTTTTACCCTATACTTATGAGTCATGGGTTTAATGTTTAAATACGTTTGAATTCAGGAGACAATAGAAATGAAATACCATTCTAATTGTAAAGGGTAAAGATTCTCTGTCTCTGTTTCTCTCTCTTTGGATGCTACAGATTGAACTCAGGTATGTTGGGACACCAAGTTGGCCTTTGGCACCCAAGAGCTTCCCACAAGCTCAACTCCTAGTCTGGGCTCCATGCCACCTCACCTCCAGGAAATGGGTTCCTGAGACTGCTCCTGGATTGAGGCAGCCCAACTGATGCCTACTGACTCCAAGTTCTAGCTCCAAACTGGAGCCCCTGTAGAGCTGTCGTCATGAGTGGGAGGATAGGTCAGGCCCTACGGCACATATCTCACAAGCTATAGGCATACAAGGGTGTCCACCTTCCATGACTCAGGATCCACTTCCCTGTGCCTGCACATAATGTCAGCTCATCAGTGCTGTCCATGTAGAGGAGGAGCGGAGCTGAGAGAAAAAAGTGCTCCAGAGAAAACCTCACCCCTGGTCCATTGCTAGGTGAGGCTTTACCCAGAGGCTTCCACCCTCAGAGGGTGAGAGACTAGGGGTGTCCTGCTACATCAGAGGACCCAACCCCCACCCCCAGGCAGAGGTGGGGCAGCAAGGTCTGCTGGACCCTGAACACTCTCAACATGGCATGGAGAGGGTGGAGAGGTGAGGGCCCAAAAGCAGAAGAGAAGACCAATGCAGTTCACTGGGTGTTGGTCTCTCCTCCAGCAGCAGCTCAGGTCTAGTGAGGAGAATACAACAGTCAGGTGGGAAAGAAATGCTTAGCCACGGCCTGGTCAGGGGCAGTCGTCAAAAGGAGCCTGCTGTGCCTCAGTGGACCCGCTTTCAGTCAGAGTAGTGACCAGTCCAGGAGGAGAACCCCTTCCACATACACATGAGAACCAACAGGCTGGGTTTTGCTCAGACGGTCCCAGGCTTGTACCCCTATATATCAGGGAGAAAACACTGAGAACCCCATACCACATTCTCCCTCACTGTCCCCAGAGGCTGGAGACTGGAGGTGACACCCTAGCCTGGTTAGGACATGGGTCCAGGTAGCCAGAGATCCATTTTTCAGCACAGGCAGCCAAGCAAATTTGGGGTAGGGACAGGAGTTGAATGACCAGCAGAGAAGAGCTTGTGCACAGCTTCCTTCCATGCTCTCCCAACAGGCATGGAGAGGCTGGAACCCCTGATGGAACCTATCTGACCCCTGCCGTGAAAATGTAGACCCACATCAGCATCACATCTCCTGATGTCTCAAATCACCCATTTCAGTCATAAATCATAATGTACTTGCTGGCAGGGATGATCTACTTGACCACACCTAGCTCTGCCCACTCTTGATTTCCTGTCTCCTCCAAGCTGACAAACC